GAGGAAAGGAACTGTGTGGTCCAGGACACTGAGGGGAGGAACTGTATGGTCCAGGACACTGAGGAGAGGAACTGTGTGGTCCAGGACACTGAGGAGAGGAACTGTGTGGTCCAGGACACTGAGGAGAGGAACTGTGTGGTCCAGGAGACTGAGGAGAGGAACTGTGTGGTCCAGGACACTGAGGAGAGGAACTGTGTGGTCCAGGACACTGAGGAGAGGAACTGTGTGGTCCAGGACACTGAGGAGAGGAACTGTGTAGTCCAGGACACTGAGGAGAGGAACTGTGTGGTCCAGGACACTGAGGGAGAGGAACTGTGTAGTCCAGGACACTGAGGAGAGGAACTGTGTGGTCCAGGACACTGAGGAGAGGAATTGTGTGGTCCAGGACACTGAGGAGAGGAACTGTGTGGTCCAGGACACTGAGGAGAGGAACTGTGTGGCCCAGGACACTGAGGACAGGAACTGTGTGGTCCAGGACACTGAGGAGAGGAACTGTGTAGTCCAGGACACTGAGGAGAGGAAACTGTGTGGCCAGGACACTGAGGAGAGGAACTGTGTGGTCCAGGACACTGAGGAGAGGAACTGTGTGGCCCAGGACACTGAGGAGAGGAACTGTGTGGTCCAGGACACTGAGGAGAGGAACTGTGTGGTCCAGGACACTGAGGAGAGGAACTGTGTAGTCCAGGACACTGAGGAGAGGAACTGTGTAGTCCAGGACACTGGGGAGAGGAACTGTGTGGTCCAGGACACTAAGGAGAGGAACTGTGTGGTCCAGGACACTAAGGAGAGGAACTGTGTGGTCCAGGACACTGAGGAGAGGAACTGTGTAGTCCAGGACACTGAGGAGAGGAACTGTGTAGTCCAGGACACTGAGGAGAGGAACTGTGTAGTCCAGGACACTGAGGAGAGGAACTGTGTGGCCTAGGACACTGAGGAGAGGAACTGTGTAGTCCAGGACACTGAGGAGAGGAACTGTGTGGCCCAGGACACTGAGCAGAGGAACTGTGTAGTCCAGGACACTGAGGAGAGGAACTGTGTAGTCCAGGACACTGAGGAGAGGAACTGTGTAGTCCAGGACACTGAGGAGAGGAACTGTGTAGTCCAGGACACTGAGGAGAGGAACTGTGTAGTCCAGGACACTGAGGAGAGGAACTGTGTGTCCAGGACACTGAGGAGAGGAACTGTGTAGTCCAGGACACTGAGGAGGGAGGGAAACTGTGTGGTCCAGGACACTGAGGAGAGGAACTGTAGTCCAGGACACTGAGGAGAGGAACTGTGTGGTCCAGGACACTGAGGAGAGGAACTGTGTAGTCCAGGACACTGAGGAGAGGAACTGTGTGGTCCAGGACACTGAGGAGAAGAACTGTGTGGTCCAGGACACTGAGGAGAGGAACTGTGTAGTCCAGGACACTGAGGAGAGGAACTGTGTAGTCCAGGACACTGAGGAGAGGAACTGTGTGGCCTAGGACACTGAGGAGAGGAACTGTGTAGTCCAGGACACTGAGGAGAGGAACTGTGTGGTCCAGGACACTGAGCAGAGGAACTGTGTAGTCCAGGACACTGAAGAGAGAACTGTGTGTCCAGGACACTGAGGAGAGGAACTGTGTGGTCCAGGACACTGAGGAGAGGAACTGTGTAGTCCAGGACACTGAGGAGAGGAACTGTGTAGTCCAGGACACTGAGGAGAGGAACTGTGTGGTCCAGGACACTGAGGAGAGGAACTGTGTAGTTCAGGACACTGAGGAGAGGAACTGTGTGGCCCAGGACACTGAGGAGAGGAACTGTGTAGTTCAGGACACTGAGGAGAGGAACTGTGTAGTCCAGGACACTAGGAGAGAGAGGAACTGATGTAGTCCAGGACACTGAGGAGAGGAACTGTGTGGTCCAGGACACTGAGGAGAGGAACTGTGTGGTCCAGGACACTGAGGAGAGGAACTGTGTAGTCCAGGACACTGAGGAGAGGAACTGTGTGGTCCAGGACACTGAGGAGAGGAACTGTGTAGTTCAGGACACTGAGGAGAGGAACTGTGTGGCCCAGGACACTGAGGAGAGGAACTGTGTAGTTCAGGACACTGAGGAGAGGAACTGTGTAGTCCAGGACACTGAGGAGAGGAACTGTGTAGTCCAGGACACTGAGGAGAGGAACTGTGTGGTCCAGGACACTGAGGAGAGGAACTGTGTGGTCCAGGACACTGAGGAGAGGAACTGTGTAGTCCAGGACACTGAGGAGAGGAACTGTGTGATCCAGGACACTGAAGAGAAGAACTGTGTGGTCCAGGACACTGAGGAGAGGAACTGTGTAGTCCAGGACACTGAGGAGAGGAACTGTGTAGTCCAGGACACTGAGGAGAGGAACTGTGTAGTCCAGGACACTGAGGAGAGGAACTGTGTAGTCCAGGACACTGAGGAGAGGAACTGTGTGTCCAGGACACTGAGGAGAGAACTGTGTAGTCCAGGACACTGAGGAGAGGAACTGTGTAGTCCAGGACACTGAGGAGAGGAACTGTGTGGTCCAGGACACTGAGGAGAGGAACTGTGTAGTCCAGGACACTGAGGAGAGGAACTGTGTAGTCCAGGACACTGAGGAGAGGAACTGTGTAGTCCAGGACACTGAAGAGAAGAACTGTGTGGTCCAGGACACTGAGGAGAGGAACTGTGTGGTCCAGGACACTGAGGAGAGGAACTGTGTGGCCCAGGACACTGAGGAGAGGAACTGTGTGGTCCAGGACACTGAGGAGAGGAACTGTGTAGTCCAGGACACTGAGGAGAGGAACTGTGTAGTCCAGGACACTGAGGAGAGGAACTGTGTGGTCCAGGACACTGAGGAGAGGAACTGTGTGGTCCAGGACACTGAGGAGAGGAACTGTGTGGTCCAGGACACTGAGGAGAGGAACTGTGTGGTCCAGGACACTGAGAGGAACTGTATGGTCCAAGGCACTGAGGAGAGGAACTGTGTGGTCCAGGACACTGAGGAGAGGAACTGTGTGGTCCAGGACACTGAGGAGAGGAACTGTGTGGTCCAGGACACTGAGGAGAGGAACTGTGTGGTCCAGGACACTGAGGAGAGGAATTTTGTGGTCCAGGACACTGAGGGAGGAACTGTGTGTCCAGGACACTGAGGAGAGGAACTGTGTGGTCCAGGACACTGAGGAGAGGAACTGTGTGGTCCAGGACACTGAGGAGAGGAACTGTGTGGTCTAGGACACTGAGGAGAGGAACTGTGTGGTCCAGGACACTGAGGGAGGAACTGTGTGGTCCAGGACACTGAGGAGAGGAACTGTGTGGTCCAGGACACTGAGGGAGGAACTGTTGGTCCAGGACACTGAGGAAAGGAACTGTGTGGTCCAGGACACTGAGGGAGGAACTGTGTGGTCCAGGACACTGAGGAGAGGAACTGTGTGGTCCAGGACACTGAGGAGAGGAACTGTGTGGTCCAGGACACTGAGGAGAGGAACTGTGTGGTCCAGGACACTGAGGAGAGGAACTGTGTGGTCCAGGACATGAGGAGAGGAACTGTGTGGTCCAGTACACTGAGGAGAGGAACTGTAGTGGTCCAGTACACTGAGGAGAGGAACTGTGTAGTCAGGACACTGAGGAGAGGAACTGTGTGGTCCAGGACACTGAGGAGAGGAACTGTGTGGTCCAGGACACTGAGGAGAGGAACTGTGTGGCCCAGGACACTGAGGAGAGGAACTGTGTGGTCCAGGACACTGAGGAGAGGAACTGTGTGGTCCAGGACACTGAGGAGAGGAACTGTGTGGCCCAGGACACTGAGGAGAGGAACTGTGTGGTCCAGGACACACTGTAGTGTCTTCATGATGTTCCTCTACTAACTTTCAGGTTTTAGTGAGTAACTAAAGAAAAATTAACAGTAAAGTATTAGCAGTGATATAATGAATAAAGAGATTAACTGACACGTTGACGCTCTGTTTACCCCGATGGAAAATTAGACACATATGAAATATCTGGGTATCTTTATTTGTAGATGTTTCGCCATCCAGTGACTTTATCAATACAAATTCAGTGACGTAATGTGAAAACAGTAGAACTATGTACATAAGCCGAGGTAATCAGTCCCTCAGTCTTGGAGTTAGTGAAGAACACTGTAGTCCTGAAGACTCCTCAAGACTTTAAAACTGCGCTACTCTTTACCAACTCCAAGACTGAGGGACTGATTACCTCATCTTTTGTATATAGTTCAACAGTCTTCACATTATGTCCTGTATTGTATTGATAAAGCCACAAATAATGGTACCCAGATGTTTCATATGTCTGATTCTTCATATTGTCGGTACTGTATACCATTCATGTACATTTACCCTGTGTGTACATGTATGTATGTACTGTATATCTCTATGTACATTATATATACACAGGACATATATTTTAGTAGATGGTGTAACGTTGTGGGTGGGTGAGGAAACTCAGAATGTTGATACAATAGTCATATGACAGTATGTTAATTAAAATTGATTATTGTTGAAGAGCCGTTTTCACACACACACACACACACACACACACACACACACACACACACACACACACACACACACACACACACACACACACACACACACACACACACACACACTGGAATCTTACATTTAAGACAAGGACGGTACCTTGATGCTAGTGTAAAACCTCTTAATTCAAGGAATCTGAGCTAATCTTTCATTCCCTTAAAACTCCAACCTGAATACCTCCCACCACCCAGGTGTTGCATAACCCCCACAGGTTTAGTGCTTCCCCACAAATATTGGACCAATGCCCTAGAGAATAATTTAGTGAAAGGTGACTGGTGAAGTTTATACTGGAGCATAAAAGGCTGCGCGACTCTCTCCCTCTTGACTACTCTTTAAAACATTCAGTCCTTGAGGTGATTTTGCTTTATATTGGCTTTAAACAACAATATTGGTATTTTAGTCTTTTAAAGACATGCCTTAAAACTGTCAGTATTTGAAGTCATGTCTAAACAGCCATTTGTTTTGTCCTGTGAACAGGTTCTACGACCGACAAGACAGCATCAGGTCGGGCTATATGAGTGACCGAGAGAGAGGCTACACCAGTGACAGGGACTCACGCGGCTACATGAGTGACCGCGACCGCTCAGGCTACATGAGCGATGGAGAGCGTGGCTACATGAGCGATCGGGAAAGAGGCTACATGAGTGATCGGGAAAGAGGCTACGTGAGCGATCGGGAGAGGGGTGGCTACACAAGCAATCGCGAGTTAGGCGGCTACGTGAGCGATCGAGAGAGAGGCTACATGAGTGACCGCGAGAGAGGCTACATGAGCGATCGGGAACGTGGCTACATGAATAACCGCGAGAGAGGCTACATGAGTGACCGAGACACTCGGGGCTACACCAGTGACCGCGAACGAGGTTATGCCAGCGATCGAGGTGGCTACGGTAGCGACCGGGAACGCGGCTACTCCAGCGACAGAGAACACAGCGCCCTGGTAGCCCAGGCCTCCATGGAAAGTGCCGACTCACGTCTCTGCTACCTCACCTCCTCAGAGGTAAGTACCTCTTTTCACTCGTTTTAGGGCATTTCGTAGAAAAATGTTTACCGTCTAAAGTCACCTAAAAGCCTCGCATACACATTATCGCCACTCTTGAGGCAAAAACCCGACATCGGAAGTGGTCTTCCTTCTGGGTAAGTTGCTGCGACTGTCACAGGTCATTAGATCTAATCAGAACTTGTACTGTGACCTGAATATTATACTGTGATGTAAACTCCAGTGCATATGTCTGTTTTTCTTTGAACTGCATGCACCAAACTTGTTTGGGAGAGTATAAAGTTCCAGCATGTGCCTTCGATGCAAGATGATACAGGAGGATTATTGTATTTTCGGTGAGTATTTCACCTGACCTGATGCATCTCTACGGGAATAATATTTGTTGGACGTTTATGTTTTGTGCGGTTTATACAAAATGGTGGAGGAGTGAGAAAATATATAGCGTGTTGATGAATAAGGCACCTGTGCAACGTTTGAGTATCCTTATTGTGGAAACGTTTCGCCAGCCAGTTTCTTCCTCAGTCCACTACAGACTAAAATGGCTGAAGATCAAGGCGTTTGAAGTAATAGTCCCTCAACCTGGAGCCAAAGGGAGTTTGAGGTAATCAGTCCCTCAGCTTGGAGTCGATGTGATCAATCTTGAAAAGATTGATGGACTGATCACATCGACTCCAGGCTGAGGGACTGTTTATCTCAAACTCCCTTTGAGCTTCAACCTTTCTACTCTGTATTGGACTGAGAAAGGCACTGGTTGGCGATATATTTCTACAATAAAGATACCCAGGTATTGCGCAAGTGTCTAATTCATCAGCCTGTCGGTTTTCTGAACCAATTATCAACATATTGCGTGTTGCCAGTCACCAGTTATTGATTTTTTTTTTTTGGGGGGGGCGTTATTTTTACCGGTGCAATGATAAGTATTTCACGTGGTGGTAAATATTCTGATTACCAATTATTCTTGCTTTGTCAAACAATATATATTTTTATAAAGACTGAAGGTTACCCTCGCAGCTGAGCATATCAAAGAATAAAGAATTAGCCACATGTGCAACATCTGGGGATCTTTTTTTGTAGATGTTTCACCATCCAGTGGCTTTATCAGTACAAATTCAAGTTCATAATGGGAAGACTGTAGAACTGTATACAAAAGCCGAGGTAATCAGTCCCTCAGCCTTGGTCAAGAGCTGTGTTTATGAAACTCGAGTTTTTCTCAAGAGCTGGAGGTCGAAATGCAGTCACCTCGCTTATAAAACTTCTCTATATAGTCCATTTTTTTTTGTAAATTCGCTTAAAAAGTATATCCAAGAATAATATGGCAACGAGTGATGGTTTAGTTAGTTTAATATGTTTATTATGCACCCCATACCCATCCAGTGGGCGGTAGTCAAAAGATTACAGAGGTACATAATGGGTCCAGGGACTGGGCCTCAAAGTTTTGATAGCTGAGCAAGTTACAGAGGTAATGAATTCACAATTTACAAAGGTAATGAACTCACAATTTACAAAGGTAATGAACTCCAGGTAGGTCTAGTCACAATCATGACAAGTTACAAAGGTATTTACAGATTACAGAGGTACACAATGGGTCCAGGGACCGGGCTCCAAAGTTTTGATGGCTGAACTAGGTACAAGGTAATGAACTCACAAGTTACAAAGGTAATGAACTCACAAGTTACAAAGGTAATGAACTCACAAGTTACAAAGGTAATGAATACTGTAAGAATGGTTACTTACGTGTATACATGGCTGCAATCATGAACAAATTTTAGAGTAATGAGCAATTCACACTTCCACACCCGGTCACAACTGTAGTGAGTTATTGGTGCAAATGTTGATTGCTGAGTCTCTCTCTCTCTCTCACACACACACACACACACACACACAACACACACACACACACACACACACAAAACACACACACACACACACACACACACACACACACACACACACACACACACACACACACACACACACACACACACACACTCATACACATACACACAAACACACACACACACACACACACCACACACACACACACACACACACACACACACACACACACACACACACACACACACACACACACACATGCACATATGTGGTAATGCTTTATTTACAGCTAGCAAAGTCAGGGTATTTCTCCAGAATGGTCTGTAATATACCACCGTGGATAAAATACTTAGCCATTTCTTGAACACTTCTGAGTGAGTTGTTTCTAAATTCATTAATTTTATCGCACTCCAGTACATAATGACGCAGGGTGTGACAATAATCCATCTGGCAAAGTTTACATTTCGTTTGGTCTACATCTGGTGGTGGTGATTTAACCTGCCAAAGACACTTGTAACCCAGCCGGAGCCGGGCGGTAGTGACATCCAAGAGTCTGCTTATTTTGTTGGATGCACCATAGACATGTGGCTCCTCCTGCATGATAGAATGATGATAGATGGACTCACTGGTGTCAATCTCCCTGAGCCTTAAGTCCATAAAATTCAGCTGAAGTTCTTTTCGTATTATTGTTCTCAAACTACTACCTGACAAGCCAAGATTGTAATCTACTCCCTCTTTGAAAGCATACAGCTTAGCCAATTTATCAGTTCTATCATGCATCTGAAGACCAATGTGAGATGGAATCCACAGCATGTGCACTCTGACTCCACTGTCCACAATCCTACCATACCTGTGTCTGGCTTCTGACACAAGCATGCCACAATTTATGCTTAATGAGTTGAGAGCATTTATGGATGACAGAGAATCAGTTACAATTAAACTGTCAATCTTTGATACATAGATGCATTTCAGTGCAAGGAGTATGGCAAACAGTTCTGTCTGAAGGGTAGAGGCCCAATTATTGATGCGTGCTCCAATTTCTTTAAGAGAGCCATCACTCTGTACGACAACAGCAGCACTACCAGCTGCACCAGTGGATTGGTGAACAGAACCATCAGCGTAAATAATTTGCGAGAGTGTGTGCTGTGTGACTAAGTTATCAATATAGCTTAAGGCATCATGTTTGGCTTCAAGGCGAAGTTTTGGTTGTGATTTAAGAAGTAGTTTGGGGGGAAATGGAGGAATGGTAGTGATGGAAAGATTAATATTAGTGATGTTAAGGCACCAGTTGTTCTAGTCAAAGTTTTATGGGTTATTTGTGAAGTGTTCCAGTCATGGTGTAAGTTATTTGTGAAGTGTTCCAGTCATGGTGTAAGTTATTTGTGAAATGTTCCAGCCATGGTGTAAGTTATTTGTGAAGTGTTCCAGTCATGGTGTAGGTTATTTGTGAAGTGTTCCAGTCATGGTGTAAGTTATTTGTGAAGTGTTCCAGTCATGGTGTAAGTTATTTGTGAAGTGTTCCAGTCATGGTGTAGGTTATTTGTGAAGTGTTCCAGTCATGGTGTAGGTTATTTGTGAAGTGTTCCAGTCATGGTGTAGGTTATTTGTGAAATGTTCCAGCCATGGTGTAAGTTACTTGTGAAGCGTTCCAGTCATGGTGTAAGTTATTTGTGAAGTGTTCCAGTCATGGTGTAGGTTATTTGTGAAGTGTTCCAGTCATGGTGTAAGTTATTTGTGAAGTGTTCCAGTCATGGTGTAAGTTATTTGTGAAATGTTCCAGCCATGGTGTAAGTTATTTGTGAAGTGTTCCAGTCATGGTGTAGGTTATTTGTGAAGTGTTCCAGTCATGGTGTAAGTTATTTGTGAAGTGTTCCAGTCATGGTGTAAGTTATTTGTGAAGTGTTCCAGTCATGGTGTAGGTTATTTGTGAAGTGTTCCAGTCATGGTGTAGGTTATTTGTGAAGTGTTCCAGTCATGGTGTAGGTTATTTGTGAAATGTTCCAGCCATGGTGTAAGTTACTTGTGAAGCGTTCCAGTCATGGTGTAAGTTATTTGTGAAGTGTTCCAGTCATGGTGTAGGTTATTTGTGAAGTGTTCCAGTCATGGTGTAAGTTATTTGTGAAGTGTTCCAGTCATGGTGTAAGTTATTTGTGAAGTGTTCCAGTCATGGTGTAAGTTATTTGTGAAGTGTTCCAGTCATGGTGTAGGTTATTTGTGAAGTGTTCCAGTCATGGTGTAAGTTATTTGTGAAGTGTTCCAGTCATGGTGTAAGTTATTTTTAAATTGTTCCAGCCACAGTATTGTAGGTTTTTGTAAATTGCTGTAGCTGTGGTTTTGGGGTCATTTATGAATTGTTGCAGTTATGTTAGTGTGGGTCTTATGTAAATTGTTCCAGCCATGGTATTGTAGGTTATTAGTGAATTGTTCCAGTCTTACCCACACCCATCTTAAGAAAGTTGAGAGACTGAAGGAGAGGGTAAGAGGATGGTGTAGTAGGGAGGGAGTAAGAGGATGGTGTGGTAGGGAGGGAGTAAGAGGATGGTGTGGTAGGGAGGGAGTAAGAGGATGGTGTGGTAGGGAGGGAGTAAGAGGATGGTGTGGTAGGGAGGGAGTAAGAGGATGGTGTGGTAGGGAGGGAGTAAGAGGATGGTGTGGTAGGGAGGGAGTAAGAGGATGGTGTGGTAGGGAGGGAGTAAGAGGATGGTGTGGTAGGGAGGGAGTAAGAGGATGGTGTGGTAGGGAGGGAGTAAGAGGATGGTGTGGTAGGGAGGGAGTAAGAGGATGGTGTGGTAGGGAGGGAGTAAGAAGATGGTGTAGTAGGGAGTAAGAGGATGGTGTGGTAAGGAGAGAGAGTGTGTGTGTATGCTTGCTGGTATATACAAGTGCATGTATATTTATGTATGCAGATATACATCAGTATACAGGCGCCGCTAAGGTGAGAATAACGCCGCCATTAATCAGAGAGTTGCTGCCACACACGGCATTATTCCGTAACTTCTACACACGTGTACACCTCCGCAGTGAAGTATACACACGTGCATCTACACAAGAACACACCTACACGCTGGTGTGCACACGTGGTGGTGTTATTGTGGTTAAGGGCCATTGAAGCTCCTGCCTTATTGAGTTCTGCTTCCCAGGAATCATGGGGGGGGGGGGGAATA